CCTCCCTCCTCCTCACACTTGTTTATGGGTATATAATTATAGTTAAAGAGATGATAAATATCTTTATGTCCATTAGACTCAAATGTAATTTGACCTTTGACCAAAAAGGCACGTGCACTGCATCTTTGACTCAAATATCTCGATGCTTCTTGGGACAAACACGCACGTGCACTTTCTGTCTTTTTGGAACAACTCAATTTTTTTTTTTAATTAACACCCCTTATAATATGCTACTTATTTAATACTTACTAATTATTAACTTTGTTAAAATTGGGTCTATTTTAATTAATTAACATAGGATAGGATCCTCTGCCAGCCTCAGTAAACAGACAGAATTTGGATTCATCACATATGTGGTGGTCCCATTTTTATTCACGACAATAATAATAAATTCAGTATAATTATATAAGTGAAATTTGATGATAATAGGATACACATATCTTACTATTTTTATGGGATAGAAAAAATATTTCCCAAGCATGATTGTTATTGGAATAATATAACAATAAAATAGTAATACAAACAAGAGATAATAATACATATTGAAGAATTAAAGATTTACACACGTTCATATAAAAAATAATCTTTAGTGGCAATTTATTAATGGAAATAGATTAATTGCTGCTAAATATATATTTTTAGTGGCAAATAACACTCTTTATAAATGTCTCCAAAAATAATAGAGACATTGAAATTAAAGACAATTAACTAATGTATGTAAAGACTTTAATATTTTTTATTAATGTGTATATTTATTACCGTTAAAAACTGTGTTTATTGTACTGACAACTATTAAAGTGGTCCAACTTTTATTGAAGGCATAGGAATTTTATAGATTTTCGATCAATTATTGGTATTAAGATTTATGGACAACATAAGATTTTGTTTGGTTCTATAAAATGAACATGAAATCTTCAATTGTACCTAATTGCATTTTTTTTAAAAATGAAGTAGAATAGGTCAATATTTTAAAAATACCACATCCAATAAGCGCAATTCCTAGAGAATAATATAATATTTTAAAAATACTACATCTAATAATCGAAGTTATTATGGAGTTTGAAATTTCATAGGTGAAACTCCATAAGTTTTTACTGTGAAATTTATAGTAATAATTCTTTTAATTATAGTGCAAACAATGATCAATAAACGCTATTTTTTTCTACCTTTTGTGTCATAATGCAATACTGGGCCGAATATACTGCTCGCAAAATGGACTTTCAACTTTTATTTGGGCTTAAACAATAGTTTCGTGTCTTGTATTCGATGTTAGGCCCATTTAATCTTGTAATGCTATAAATGGTTTGGAACAACAGTAATCTAATGGGTTATTTACACATTTGCGCTTCATAACAAATAACTTTTTCGTGGGGTATAAGTTTATATATTCGTATCTTAATATCCTATAAGTTATGCTTGGGCAAGACTTAAGTTTCTAAAGAACTTATGCTTCACTAAGCATAACGCATAAGATTGATTACTAAATGTTAAAAATTAAAGATCAGTCCATATAAATGGTTGGCCAATCTTTCTTACTTTTAAAAGGAAAATTATCCAAATCAGATAAACTTATATAGAAAATCTTATTAGTTCAGTTGGTTGACTATTTAAAATTTTACTTTGTTGGTCAGAGTTCGTTTTTCCACTTTGTGATCTTATTCCCTGTTTCCCTTTCCCTATCCCCAATTATATATTAAAAATAAATAAATATATACACTATATAATAGTTTTGATAAATTACCAAATAATTGTCTAGATATGGAAAATTCTTGGTAGGTAGTGTATCTCCCGAATGGGGTTCTATCCGGCACAAATATGAAATAGTCATACTTCAATATAGGTATCAGACATCGAGTGAAAAAAATAAAAAAGATATTATCGAACAACTACATTTTAAATTTTATAGCAAATACTCAATATACTTGTGTACCCTTATTTCAAGTCATATTTTATATTCTGTATTTATTAGTTTAACAACCATTTTTTCCGCCACAGTCTTGTGAATTAGAGAGATCTTTGATTTGTTTGTGGGTATTGCAATGTATTCATCTAATGTGATTTATGCCATACAAAAATGTTCAAAATTTTGTTGATTGAATTTTCGATTGTAGATATGGAATCGAAGCTTGCTTTGGTTTATTTACCTATTTTGAATTTCTTCTGAAGTTGTTCCCATCAATGTATCTCTAAATGACATTGTAAAATGTATCGTTCCTCGTGAATGTATCTTCTATAGGTAATCGTTTTCTTTCAAATATATGTTGATATTGTTTTTACTATCAATAAAGTGATATTCAAGTGATTCTTTTGGTGATGAATATAATTAGATTGAGATGATTTTTGGTTATGATATAAATGTATTTCATAGCATATAAGTATGATATACTTAAATATGGTGACATACACAAGTGTGTGTTATACGTATGTATCAGACATCGAGTGGAAAAAAAAGAAGATATTACCAGACAACTATATTTTAATTTTTCTAGCAAATACTCAATATACTTGTGTACCCTTATTTCAAGTCACATTTTATATTCTGTATTTATCAGTTTAACAACCATTTTTTTCACCATTGTCTTGTCAATTAGAGAGATCTTTGATTTGTTTGTGGGTATTGCAATGTATTCATCTAATGTGATTTATGTCATACAAAAAATGTTCAAAATTTTGTTGATTGAATTTACGATTGTAGATATGGAATCGAAGCTTGCTCGAGAGGAAAATAAAAAAAGATATTACCAAACAACTACATTTTGAATTTTCTAGCAAATACTCAATATACTTGTGTACCCTTATTTCAAGTCACATTTTATATTCTGTATTTATCAGTTTAACAACCATTTTTTTCACCATTGTCTTGTCAATTAGAGAGATCTTTGATTTGTTTGTGGGTATTGCAATGTATTCATCTAATGTGATTTATGTCATACAAAAAAGTTCAAAATTTTGTGATTGAGTTTACGATTGTAGATATGGAATCGAAGCTTGCTATGATTTATTTACCTGTTTTGAATTTCTTGTGAAGTTGTTTCTATCAATGTATCTCTTAATGACATTGTAAAATGTATCGTTCCTCATGATTGTATCCTCTATAGGTAATCGCTTTCTTTCAAATATATGTTGATATTGTTTTTCCTATCAAATAAAGTATAAAGTGATATTCAAGTGGTTTTTTTGGTGATGAATATAATTAGATTAAGATGATTTTTGGTTATGATATAAATGTATTTTATAGCATACAAGTATGATACACTTAAATATGGTGACTTACACAAGTGTGTGTTATGTATATATTGGACATCGAGAGGAAAATAAAAAAAGATATTACCAAACAACTACATTTTGAATTTTCTAGCAAATACTCAATATACTTGTGTACCCTTATTTCAAGTCACATTTTATATTCTGTATTTATCAGTTTAACAATTATTTTTTCCGCCATTGTCTTGTGAATTAGAGAGATCTTTGATTTGTTTGTGGGTATTTCAATGTATTCATCTAATGTGATTTATGTCATACAAAAAATGTTCAAAATTTTGTTGATTGAATTTACGATTGTAGATATGGAATCGAAGCTTGCTTTGGTGTATTTACCTGTTTGAATTTCTTGTGAAGTTGTTACCATCAATGTATCTCTAAATGACATTGTAAAATGTATCGTTCCTCGTGAATATATCTTCTATAGGTAATCGTTTTCTTTCAAATATATGTTGATATTGTTTTTACTATCAAATTAAGTGATATTCAAGTTGATTGTTTTGGTGATGAATATTATTATATTGAGACAATTTTTGGTTATGTTATAAATGTATTTCATAGCATACAAATATGATACACTTAAATATGGTGGCATACACAAGTGTGTGTTATATGTATGTAAAATATAAAGTGTATATTGTATGCATTCCCATTATATGTGTGGTGTTTTGGGGGTGTATTGAAGTGTATTATATATGCTAATACAGCTCATACATAGCGTGTGTATAATATATCTTGTTTGAGTGTGAGTCTAGTATATCTAATAAAATTGTATATGTATTGAAGTGTAGTATATGTGCTAATACAGCTCATACATAGCATGTGTATGATATATCTTGTTTGAGTGCGAGTTCAGTATATCTAATAAAATTATATGTGTATTGAAGTGTATTATATGTGCTAATACAACTCATACATAGCGTGTGTATAATATATCTTGTTTGAGTGCGGATCTAGTATATCTAATAAAATTGTATATGTATTGAAGTGTAGTATATGTGCTAATACAGCTCATACATAGCGTGTGTATAATATATCTTGTTTGAGTGCGGATCTAGTATATCTAATAAAATTGTATGTGTTCAATTAGATTTAGCGACAATTAGAATGTATCCAACAAATACAAAATGAATATATATAATAGATACAACAAATCCAAACGAACAAATACAAAACGAGCATATACAACTCCAAGATAATAGCTTTTGAATCACAATTAGACACAATATAGCTACATCTGATAATTATGCTCTAAACTATAGATTTTTATGAAATTTCTTCTTTTAAAAAGTGTATTTTAGAAGAATATTTCTTGAGAAGGCTTACAACAACTTCATCAGACTTGCAATCAAGCAAATAACTTACAAGTAACTCAAAATAGACATATTGCAAACAACTCAAACAAACCTACTTAAAAAGCCTATCTCAATTTTTCCAGACTTGCAATCAAATAACTTACAAATAACTTAAACAATAGATTGTAAATAACTCAACCAATCAAATTGCAAGCAACTTCTAAATAATCTTGCAACTATTTCCTAAAAAGCCTTGCAATAACTTATTTTCTTCTATTAACAAAACAACTAATTCAATTCATTAATTTATATATCAATTCAAAATTAAATAATTTAACATTCTCATATTATTTATAAAAACTAAACTAATGTATAAGATTATGTCACCTAAACTATACTCTAATAACTCTTAAAAAATCAAAATAATAACACCTTCCTATATTTCGACAATGTACATAATGAGCTTCTTTGACCATTTTCTCCTCTCCTTTTTCACATTCTAAACCAAAAAACCCGACAACAAAACCCACCCGGCCCGATCACCATCGAAACCGTAACTGAGAAACCGAAAAATGGCGTTGCTCGGCGACGACGGCCGAGGTTACGAGCTAGCTCTGAAACTGGAGAGTCACGGCGTATGGCGTTCATGGCTCGGCGATTCACTGTATACCAATTTCATTCCTCTTCTTTCTTCTCCTTCTACTTGGGATTCTTTCATGAGAACAGACGATGCAAAAACTAGGGTTCAGATTCACCTACAGCTTCGTGTTCGTGCTCTCCTGTTTGATAAAGCATCTGTTTCTCTTTTCCTCCGATCCGATAAACCGCCGACGTCAATTCATACTGCTTCTATAATTTCGAAGCTCAATCCAAATTGTACGCACTTTCATAAGCATTTGAATTGCATTGTGTGTTTTAATTATTATTTTTTGAGTTTTGTAGGTTAATTGTTTTGCAATTGCAGATTTGCAATTACATGGTGATGATGTGTATTTTACACTTGACAATTGTTCGCAAGATGAGGCTCAACAGCGTGAAGGTGTTTCTGGTACAAGCACTGTGTTATCTAAGGTAAAAAATACTTGTTTTCTTGTGAATTTATTAACTTTAGTAGGTATTGTTCATACAACAACAACAACAATCACATATCTAGCCTGGGGAGGGTAGAGTGCCGTAGACGTTACTCCTACCTTAGAGGTAGAGAGGTTATTTCTGATTGACCTTTGGCTCAAGGGAAAAATAGTTCAAACCAGTCCATAATAGGAAGTATGTGAAATAGAATAGATAGTAACAAAAACAACAAATACTAACAGAACAGTAGCTACAATAGGAAGTTAGTGGTCATATTAGTTTATTAGATGCTGAAAGAACTATGTAAAGCACGATACGTGGGGGTATGAAACCGCAGCTGGAACAGGATTACTTTTTCTGAAGTTGATGACTTACTGTTAGTATGAATGGTGACTGGAGAATTTTCAATCAGAGAAATTAATAGTTTTTTGACTCATGAAGGAAGGGAGACAGGAAAAGGGTGGTCCTATTGTTGTTAGTTGTTACATGTATCACCTCTCTCTTAAGTCTTAAAAGCTCGCTAGAAGGCGGAGTGTAGATAAATGTTTCATTTTGTATGGTTGGTGTGGGAGAAAATAGGGTGTAGCCGTGGAGATGGCTATTGATCTAAAATCCATGATTTTGTTTGGTTGCTTTTTCTGATTTTGTTAATATTTAGCATGACTCACATTCCTTACATTTTTTCAGGTCCAATCTAAGTCAAATTTTGGTGCTGGATCAAGATATAGCGAGTCAGAAGCTGATGCAATGTCTCAGAGGTTGAAGCTTGATGATTTACCTGAAACATGGTATAACCAGTTCTTTGAAAAATACAAAGCAAGTAAATCATATAGGCTACAGTTTGGTGACAGTGAAACAGAAAAGCGAACACCTGAACAGATGTCCTTTTATCGTAAAGTTGTTGAGAATCACAAGAGACGGCGTGTAGCTTTTAAAGTAGATCAGAACATTGGTTTTGGCATGTTGGATGATGGATCAAACCTGCAATCAAACTCAATTTTAGATAACGACAACCCATTTTTTCCTGAAACAATATCTGCCATGAATTGTGTTCCTGATAGTGCAGTCCTGCGGACAAGTCAATTGAAAGAGAACCAGAAAGTGGAGTTTAACGGGGTTCTAGATACTTTACCCCAAATAATGACCAAGAGTCCTATTATGATTGAGAGGCTTGGTATTAGACCAGAGTACCTTAGCATGGATCAAGGCAGCAATCAAAATCTTGGAAAGAATGGTGCAGAGAGGAGTAAGAAATGTCTAGGTGAAATGCAAGCACTAAAGTTATCACAAAAGGTGATGGCACGATTGCTGGGAAATGTGGGTTTTGAAGGCTCATCTGAAGTTCCACTAGATGTCTTGACTAAATTCATGAGTTGCCATATTCGTAAATTAGGTTCTACCTTAAAACTCCTTTCTGATAGCTACAGAAAGCAGTGTTCAGCTATGGAACTTCTCAAGATGTTTCTCCATACAGATGGACATAGGTTGGTGTGCACTTCTTCATATGATATTTTCAAATGTTTGATATATTCCTCTTCACTTTGCTATAATCTCTGTTTATGATATTTTCAAATGTTTGATTTGTTCCTTTTCACTGTGTTATATTCTCTATTTTTTTTCATGAAGTATGAAAAATTGGGTTTTGTCATACTACAATGCAAGGTTTAACCTCTTAAAAGAATTGGGCTTCAAGTATTAAGGCAAGAAAATCAGGCCTAATTGCGGTAACATATTTGCCAAAGAACATAAAAAATAATGTTGCCTTTTCTTTTAAAAACAACGTTCCTGCTGATTAAACAATAAAAAAACTTTCCTGGCGATTAGCTGTGCACTTTCATGCACATTTTATGCTCTTTAGATTATGTATTTCTCATGAAGCTGTTGCTTGTTGAAGTATGTGAAATCCGCAATGTTTAAGATATCAGAGCAACATCTATTCAGTGATCTTCATAGTTAGGTGAAAGTTGTAATTGTTCTAATAACTTATTCATTGTGGTTTCTGTACAAAAGTTTGCCAAGATGGGAAGAATTTCAATGTAGGCTTTACCCACCTCAATTGGGAATTGCTGGTGTTAGAATTATTGCTTAAACTCATCCTCGACTCTTAGGGGTTGTGTCTGCATTTGATGTCTGTTGCAAATCCAATCATATACATTATGAAAGTATGGTCTCAGTAGTTGACTCTTTCTTCCTCTGTGAAAATGTTAAAGCTCATCCCTTTCCAGGAGACTCTTCTGTGTTTTGTCCGACGTTCGTTTCTGCCGTTCCGTTGTGCTTTATAGTATGAGACCTGAATATGCTTTGGATGAGTTTGGAGCTGATACATGAATCTCTTGTTATTGAACTTAGCTAAAACGGATGCAATCTATTGAGTTGTTTCATGGATTTTCCTTTTTTGCTCCGTCATTCTAGGAAGTTTTCGTCCATGTGAATGACACAATAGTCATACCAATTATACCCTTATATCTCACAAAATAGACTGTAAAAACGATGACTTTTGGAAGTTTTGATTTCTCTGCATCTCCCTATATACTTATACATAAATAACTGATAATGTTGATACTCTCTCTCTATTGCCTTATAAAAGAACAATAGTTTATTTCTCCCCTATCCCTTTCAGTATCTAACCCATTTTCCTTGTTTTGGCAGTAATCTTGCGATGTTATCTGCACTTGTGAAGGATAATACTAGGAATGTTGTGCAACAAACTCAGCAACAAGTACATGGATTCCAACAACAGTTGCAACCTCAGCATGCATCTGCCATTCGACAGTCACAGCAGGTACGTCGATTTGTTGTCAGTGGTATCCATCAAGTCATATTGATGTTGTCATTCTTGCTATTATGCGGTTCACTTCTGCAAATTGGTTTGCATGTACAATTTTGTATTGGTTAGTGAAAAGCTTTTTCAGGAGATCAATCTTTGCAGTGAGATGCATTATTTCTAATTTTTTTTTTCTTTTATATGTGGAATTATCATACTGGACAAAATAAGTAGAAAGACTGAAGAAGATGTGCTGAGCCATTTGAATTTTAGGGGTTATTTAGTAGTCAGTACGTGTGACTACATGCGATTGGACTGGGTAGGATATCTCCTTCCACTAGATTGGATTGTATGGAAGGATTATATTTGAGATTATTACTCCTGTCCTATGTTTGGTTGCAGCACTACTTTAGGGATATCTTGTCCCTGGGCTTTAGTGGTGGTAAGACCACAATTGTGTGGGTTAGGCACATCTCAAAGGCTCGAACCTTGTCGCAAACAAAAGCCTGGTATTTAAGTGGAGAAGGGTAGAGGGACGAGCCAATTATCCACCAAGTTCTGAACCATTTGCCATCGGCTCTCGGGGACATCTCGATTATCAAAATTAATTTAGCGATATTTCATCAGTAGTCCCATCTAGTGATTAATATGATGCTGGGATTAAATTTTAAGTTCCAAAAATACTCTTGGAACAAATTTTACTATTTCTTTTCTCATAATTCACTTTCCATCTCAGGGATCCAATTCCATATATTGAATAGGAAAGCATCACCAATAAAAAAAAACTTCCACTTATATTTGACAAACTATAAGAAAAAAATTGATGCACTACAAAATAAAGAATACAAATGAACTATTAAGAAACTGTCATAAAAACTTTGGAAAATTTGAAGTAAATAGAGTTTTAACATAATGCAAAAAGTAAAAAATATCTAGTGAAACAAGAAATTACATGATATGAAGTGTATGAAAACTAGTTGCAAAAGTCCCTTCTAAAAATAAAAAAAACTAGTTGCAAAAAAGTTGTGCTTGAATTTTCCCAAGAAAACAAAGGAAATTGTAGAAGAGCAAGTGGGTGCTGAAGTTGTGGGCGGATGGGTTACATCTTGTAGCTGATGTTGGAGGAGAAAGGGTTGGGGGTGGTAAGGCAAAGGTTGAACGGTAGGTGATTTGCAATGTTAGAAGAGGGAGGAGATTTTGGGGGCTGATGGAGAGGTGTAGTGAGTGAACAGGAAAAGAGGATTAGGACCGGAAGAGACACGGGGAAAGAAGTTTTTGCTCGAAGCCTTTTGCATGTTAGGGGCATAAGTGTCTTGTTACATCATCATCAACTGGTATTTTTGTAACTAGGGTGGTAAATCAAAGTATTACGATAAAAGGGAATACGACAATGGGGTAAACATGTTAATTAATACGGGGAGCACTACAGAGCATCCATGGAAAAGAAGCATAACACAATGAAATAATACGGTAACCTATGTTGCTCGGACTTTTCTAAAATATTGATAGGTACGTGTTGGATACTATAGAAATAGTGCATGTTTGGAGGATTTGACATGGGTGTGACAACATTTTTGAAGAGTCCGAGCAACATAGGCGATAACTGAAATTACAATACATGTATGCAACTAATACTACTACAGACACAAAGCTCCCACCAAGCCTAAATCCACCGAGAAGCGAGTCAAAGTTCAACTACCTACTAACCTTCTACTCTAATTTGTGACCTCCAAGCCCTCCTATCATGTCCTCGGTAAGCTAAAGCTTCCATGTCTTGTGTAGTCACCTCTCCCCAATAGTACTTCGGCCTACCTCTCCACTATATCCAATCTCTCGCACCTCCTTACTATGTCCAAACCATCTCAGTCTCGCTTCCCTCGTCTAGCCCACCACTGAAGCTATTCCGTCCTTGTTGGTCTAACCACAACTCCGTAGAGCTTACATTTAAGTTTATGTGGTAACTTGTTATCACATAAGACTTCGAAAGCGAGCCTCTATTTCATCCACCCCGCACCAAAATACTAAAGTAAATTTATATGTACATATATAGTTGGAACTCATCCACTTTCTTTTTGTTTTTGTTTAAGCACTACTAGTTTATAGGATAAACCAAAGTAAATAAATAATGGTACAATCAACTATTATGAAATGAAATTTTAAACGATGTTACCAGTTTCAAAAAATTGAAACAAAATTTTAAATGATTATTTATAGACAAAAAACTTGATGTAAAGTAGAACTTCAAGTGTTAAGATTGAGGTTTTTCTGGTTCAAGGTTGGGCATCATCATGGTTCCATTTGGGATTCTGATTCGTGAGGGGTTATGGGAATAATCCGAGTAAACCCATCCTCAAAATCACTCGAGCCCAAATCCATTAAAACTTGGCGGATTACATGGGTTTTGGTTGGTTTTGCCACCCCTATTTGTAACAATCCATCCTCCCTTCCCCAAGGACAAGATAGTAGCTTTGATAAATCTATCTGGAGGCCTAATGCTGAGTTGTACAAATCCGGGATAAGAGTTGTACAAAATGCGGGATTATTTACCTTGACCTTTATTCCATATTCAAAATTTACTTGATAATAACCAGTTAACTTTCTCAAAAAAAATTTACTTGATAATATTCTGGCTTTTTATTAGATAGTCTACAATTACATCTTGGGTTAGGTGCAGATATTAAGAATGCATCCTCAGATGCAGCAGATGATCAATTCTCAAAATCTGACTCCTCAGCAACAGCAGCAGCTGATCAGTTCCCAAAATCTGACTCCTCAGCAACAGCAGCAGTTGATCAATTCCCAAAATCTGACTCCTCAGCAACAGCAGCAGCTGATCAGTTCCCAAAATCTGACTTATCAATTCCCAAAATGTGACTCCTCAGCAACAGCAGCAGCTGATCAATTCCCAAAATCTGACTCCTCAGCAACAGCAGCAGTTGATCAATTCCCAAAATTTGACTCCTCAGCAACAGCAGCATCTGGAGAGATTGCGAAGGCGCCAGCAGTTAACACCTCGTCCTGGTATGAGTATGAACATGAACATCGACAAGGACAGGCCCTTAGTCGAAGTCAAGCTTGAACATCCAACTGATTTTCCAATGGACAACAATGCCTTTAATGCAATGACTGCGAGACAGCCGCAGATGCAGCAGTTCCGTCAGCAGCAAATTGCAGCTATGTCATCTACCTATGCTCAAAACACAAATCAGTTTAGGCCAATGTCTTCTCTTCAAATTCCTCAAGTGCAGTCACCGTAAGTAATATTATATACAATAGAAGTTGTAGGCGTCTAACTACATCATATGATGTATTATCATACTCCATTTTTTTTTACAGGAATATGGGAATGGCCAGGGCTCCCCCCGTAAAAGTCGAAGGATTCCAGGAATTGATGGGTGGAGATTCAACAATGAAGCATGATTCCGAAGAAAATAAGTTAATGTCTCCTCAAAAATAGTATTGTACCAATGGCTAGTAAGTATTGAATTAGCAGTAGATGGGTTCATAACAAAGCTGTTTTCTTGTCACTCTTGTGAACTGCTTTTTTACATTGTTTAGCTAAATTATTTATACACAGAATGATTGCTGAAAGAAAATTTAAGTAGGCATTGTACATTTTTTCATCGGGATGGCTGCTGCGATCAGGTGTGTACCATATTCCATTGTCATTCGGCTTTGTTCCTCTAGAAATGTGCATATGTATTATTTGTGTAATTTTATTTATTTTATTTTGATTACATAGATTTCTAGGAACTATGCCCCATTGGCCATTTTTCTATGATCTTCCAAGAACTGAATTAGATCTTCTATATACTTATCATGTAGCCTTCTATTCCCAAATATTGAACTGATTTCTTTTGCTTTCTCTCTAATTTTCCTTCCATCTTTTTCAACCATTACCAACTTCACTGAACTGGATACAGAGTCCCTTGTGTATGAACCATCCTCTTCATTTCTTGGTATTTCTATACCAATCTCCTTATCCTCTAGGATTCTTGCATTCAAACCTTGATCAACCAAAAATGGCAACATAATCAACGGGTGACCAAACATTAACCCTTCTATTATCGAGCTCCATCCACAATGAGTCAAGAATCCACCAACTGACTCATGACTTAGTAGCTTCAACTGAGGTACCCAACTCTTCCATACTATACCTCGACCATGTATTCTCTCCTCAAACCCATCAGGCAGCTCAACGTAATCCATGTTTCCTGAGTAAGGTCGCTTCCTCAGAGCCCAGAAGAACGCTACCCCAGACAACTCCAACCCATAGGCCAACTCATTGATTTCACTCGGACCAATAGTCACTTCACTCCCTAACGCTACGTAAACTACCGACCCTTTGGTTTGTTCATCTAGCCATTCTTTGATGCATGTCCAAGTCCCATTGTTGTCACTATTGTCCAATGAAGGTGGCATTAAGCCCACCGGAACTATAGGCCTATGGTAAAGATCCTCTAGTAACTTCAACCACTGACTTTCAAACTCACAACAGTGACGTATAATAACTACGTCAACATCCTTTATCGTAGCCCCAGAACGATATATGTCCGACACACCAGACACGTTCTTCTGCATGGCATCGACTACCCACTTAGCTTCATGGTGACGAAAAGCCACCTTAGTTTCAAACGGTATCCATTTAGGTGTCACCATGAAATCCTCTGGTGTTGGTGGTGGATTACTAGAGCCAGTGAGCATCATGTCTGTAGATCCCCCAAAAGCCAAAAACCAAGCATTAACAACTCGAAAAAATCCCCTAGAAATCCTTAACCTAGTTGTGATTGGTGCTAACCAATAAGGTGCAAAATCATGAATAACCCAATCAGGAGAAGTTTTCTCCAAGAAACTTGTTAATTCAAGTTCCATTCCATCTAAGGCTTTTTTGAGATAGACAATATCTTTAGTGTGAATATCCATAGTTGCTTCTGCATTTTCTGGTAATCCATCAACATGAGGAAGAGGGATTTTCACTAAGGTTATTGATGTGGAATATTCAAGTGGGAGTTTTGGGAGTCTGTCAATGTTTCTTGGGGTAGAAATGAAGGAAATTTTGTGTCCTTTTTGAGCTATTAATTTGGAAAGTTCAAGATATGGTATAATATGACCAAAAGCTAGCCAAGGGAACATGACTATATGAAGTTTGTTTTCAACTCCATTAGCCATGGCTTTAGAGCTTTGTATGTTTTTTCTGTGTTTTGTTGATAATAACATAGTCACAACTATATAAAGAGTGTAGACAATGGAGAAAATGATTTTAAAAAAATGATCCCTTATGTTTGAGGGTAGTTCAAAATAGTCCCTTAAGTATGTATTGAACAATTTTAGTCCTTTTGAGTTTGTTGACGGTCTTTCAGAAACAATCTCTTTACCTTTACAAGGTAGGGGTAAAGTTTGCATGTGTACACACCATCCTCCCCGGAGTCCAATTGGGAGATTACATTAAGTATGTTGTTGTCGTAAGTTTGTTAAAAAGTTAACATTTTAAGTGCCTATTTGGAGCCATGGAAAATTTTCACTTTGTTTTTGAAATTTATTTCGGGAAACTATTTGAAAAAGTTCAAAAAGTTGTTTTCACAATTTTCATGTCGAATTACTCACAAAATTCAGAAAACATTTTCAATTTATATTCATTTCCAAACACAACTTCAATTTTTAGATATCATTTTAAACTTAAAACGAAATGCTATTTTTTTCAAAATCTTACAATTTTTATGTCCAAATACCCAATAGTTTCTGTTATATATTTAACAAATTATATTAATTAGATTTGACGAAAATAGTGAAAAAAAGATTTAGCTATAAAGACCAACAAAGTCTCATCAAATTCAAAAATAGGAACATAAATAACCGTACTTGACACTAAAAAGGTATTAAAAATAGTAGAAATTAGACCACCAAAAGATGCATTAAACTTCATAAATAAAAATAAATTTCAAAAATTGTATTTCTAAGTGAATTCTTGATAATTATCTTTATTCATAGTTCAAGGGTTATTTTAAACCTATCCTCAAGTATAAGAGACTATACTTGTTATTTTCTCGTAGATAATGTATCCTTTAGGGGAATATTATATTATTTAAAATAAACCAGTAAGCTAAACATTATTGCAGGAAAAAAAATATTAATTGTGCGACAGCCGTATCAAATACTAAATCTAATGGAAGTGATTGAAACGCAATAAAAAGTTTAATTAATTCAATAAAATTATTAAGAGTATCTCAATAGTATGAATTACTAGATCTAATGACAATGATTGGAAGAATATTATAAATTATAATTTTGCAATTATAGAGGAGACTTTCATAATGAAGCGAATAATACACGTTATTAATGTTGAATTAATAATAATGATGTTGTAAGACCTCAATACGATTATTTTTCTATTTTAATGATCCATTATTTTAATTTACTTTTCCTGCTGTAGATATCACACGTAACAAGTTGGTTCTAAATAATTGTTCAAAATATTTTCCATTTTTTTCCTTTTGCTAAAATACTATTTTCTCCATATTTCCATGTTTTTGTTTCAATTAATATCTAAATTAACATTATAATTTTTTTCTTGTTGACAAATTATAAGAACTTGATGCCACTGCCACAAGATATGGTGTTGTAGATGAGACTGCTCCTCTCTTTTAATTAGAGGTCTCAGGTTCGAATATTGTGTATGAAAAAAAAATCATTGATAGGGAAATGGGGCCTATGCAGGCAACAATATGAATTCGGATTAGTCAAATTTCAATGACTGGACGAGAAAAAATGAATTTGCTATTGACTATCATACTATTACAATCAAGAATTAAGATATATGCTTACATAATTGTCCAAGGTAATCAATTACAAAGAATTATGATTATCAATAAAGAAATTAACCCCCCACTTAATATCATGTAAGAAAAAAGAAAATACTATTAACATATTGATGTACTTAAAGTGGAAAATCCTCCTAATTATATATGTATAATATTCACTTAATTGATTAATTTTGTTGTGGAGGGCCTTCCAAACGAATGTAGTCGTATTGATGGCCATAGAAAGGATTACCACCTTTAATTTGCATCAAATATATTGTATTTTCTCCCTGTTGTAGTTGTAATCCTTGAATTTGAAAATTGAAAAGCCAATATAATCCATGTATCCCATGTCTAGCTATAGCATTACTCCTCCCAATTGATGGAGTTTCAAAGTGAGGCATTGTTCTAGAGGGGTTGTTGATCCTCCCCTAAAATTGCAAGAAAAAAAAAAACATGTTAATATTATCCAAATAAAGAGATCATTTGCAAAGTAACACAAACAGGGGAGGAGGAGATTACAAGATGGGGAATCAAACTCTCACCAGCAAGGCTGAAAGTTACAATAGCCTACCAACTAAACTACTAAGATTCACTTAGACTATTCAATAATCTTAGTCGAATTCTATTTTTCCATTTGCTTTCAATTATCATTCGTTAATATTTCGTTGCTTTGTATATATCTCCAATCATATAACCATCCCAAGACCTTTAGTTAAATATACAGAAATTGATTGTATAGTACAAATTCCAATTGAGGCTTGGCTATATATATATATATATGTATGTATGTATGTATACCTGTAAATGGGAATAGGTTGCAGAAGCCAGTGCCACACGTAGTGTATAAGTTCCCTTTGGATCAACACTTGGGAGTTTAAATGAAATTTGCCATGTTGTTGGTATATAATTCTTGCTTCTAGTTCTCCTGCAATGTAATATAAGAGTTCAAAAACTTAGAAAATACAAAACATATTAAATTACTTGAGTTAAAAAGTAGTGAGAAATATGACCATTAAAGGTTACTAATGGTCATGATGGGGTGATAAGTGATAAGTGATAAGTATCGCTTTATTTTTTTTAACTAAAGATCTTAAGTTTGAGCCTTGAAAATGTTATTGCCTTTGATAGGGTGTTTTACCCTCAAGAGGGGACTTTCCGTGTTTTTTAAAAAAAAATGGACGTTGGGTGTAATTACTCAACCTCCAACAGATAGTTCAAGATGTGAGGATTGTCCAAAATCATATAAGGAGTCCAAATTAATTTCTTCATCCCACCCATATGTGGGACTCAATGTCCACCCCCTCCACGCTCAAAACAAGACATTTGAAGCCTGAACACAACATTGGGTAAATAATGAATTGATATGAGCCTGACTCCTCACTTCTAGAGCTTGCTTGCTTTTGCGCTCAAAGTCTATTTTCTGAACACGGTATAGAAGCCACACCCATTTCAATTCTTGATTTACCCTATTTTGGGCGCTCTCCAACATCATAATCTATGCTCTAGTTGGTAGGCCTGGACGTGCACAGGAAAAGTCTATTTTCTTAACATGAGATGATTTCTTCACGGACAATTCTCACCTCATGAATTGAGCTTTAAGAATGAATTAGATAAAAGTTTTTTTTTTTTTTATTACGACGTGAATCCGAATGAATCAAAATCAAGTAACTAAACTAAAAAATTGATGAAAAAAAAACGGGGAAATGTAATCACCTGGTTACATGAGCAAAGAACCAATCTTTTCTATAATCACTAACACCAACTTTATACACCAAATCTTTATTTGGATATAAATCAGTGTATCGATCCCACAAACCATATTGCCTATATCTGTTCACATTATAAACAATAATCAAATTCATATCTATATAAAATCAAACTATATACTAAAAATAATAATTAAGCAAATATAAGATAAAAGGGAAACTAACTTTTGTGTAGTATTGTTGAATAATTGATTTGTTAGGGCAGGCAATGGATCAGGCACAAAAAATTCTCCAGCACTCCTATCAGGAATTCCAATTTCCCATAAAGTTGGACCGTTTCTTGGAGGATCATAAATTAGGTTACCTAAGTTTATATCACTTCCTGCTTAATTTCGATAAATTTTACATTGTCAGATCACTAAAAAGATAAGTACATAGAAAGTGAGATTATAATAATGACATGCACAAACTTTAGAGGGTTGAATTGAGTATGACTCATTTATTAATTTGTTTGGTCTTAATTGACGTATTCAGTCCACCTATTTGTCACTGTTATATTAAATCCGTAATTTAAAGTAAAAAGGGGAAAAAAGTAAAGGACCTTGTTTGACAATAATGTCATAGTGGTATTTGTAATCTCCAATAATTCCAGGGACCCAAGAATATAAGTTATAAGTTCCAGGTCTAACACCAATAATATTGAAGTGTCCAGTCTCATTTGTTTGAGTCCAAAATTGATAATCCTGAGAGGAAACAAGATATTAGAGTCGATAAATTATATATACGTCCTCTAGTTGAATCATCAGGACTTACTTCAATTTTGAAACAAAGCTACAGAGGGATAGAAGGAACCCAAAAATCACAACGTACACAAAATTGACGATTATTCAAATTTTCATGATAGGATGATTATTAAACTATTAATGAAAATCTTATCTCCGTCACTTATTGATCGAATGGGCCTTACTTTAGTCTCATATTGCCATGACCCAACATCTCCAGGAAGTGCTAATCCAATATATGCAGATTTTGCATAGACAGGATTTTTGTTTATGTACCTAAAAAAGTTTAATTTTTTTCAAAACACATTAATTAATATTTTCCTCATAATTTTAAACAATATAAACATGGTAATTAAATTAATTAATTAAGTACCTGTCTCGTACGAATAATTGACCTCTAATTGTACCACGTGCATTAGCATGAGGATAATCAATAGATTCTGGGAAATCATATGGCCATTTTGTAGTTTCTTCTTCCATCTGCATAGTAATAAATTGAATTCACGCGAGTTTAATTTCTGTACACAGACAATATATAGTTTTTTCATATCATCGCTTTAAGTTACCTACATCAACATGTAACTATGCGTATAACACGTCTAATATATATATAGTAACTTGAACTATAGAGTAAAATTAATTAATAACCTAGTTTAACTAGTTAAAATACATCGGAATCGTTTGGTTGGTGGTATGCTATGGAATATATAATGACAATTATTTTGTTTCACCCAGAGACGGAGCTAGGTGGGGGTTCATGAGTTCGGACGGATCCAGTAACTTTTCTGTAGACCCTGTATTTTTATTAAAAAATTAAAAAAATATATATGCATATTAACTTGGGAACTCCCTAACAAAGGATTGACAACTTAATGGTAAGAAAGGGCGGTGAAAATGATTTTCACACTAGTGTTGTGGGTTTGAACCCCACTATCAACAAAAAAATCTCTTTTTCTTTTTAAAAGAAGTATGATGTGCAATATTTTTCTCTTTTTCCTAAAATTTAGAACCCCAAACTCCTAATCCGCCTCTGGTTTCACCTTTCGTATGAGATAACTTATTCCACCGTTTATGCTAAAATGGTGGAATAATATAATCCTGAACTAAATAATATCCATTACCAAACGCAAGATAAAATATCCCGGGAGGAATGAATTTACCTGTCTTTTAGCATCTTCCCAAAGTGTAGGATGGTTATCACCAGAATCAGAGTTAAGGTAGAAAAAAACAGGCCCAAAAACTTTTTTCCATGGCTCTCCTTCTTTTATTTTGACTCCCAACTCTGGCCCTGCATAATGTCCACTGAAAAATACCTGTAAAAGAAGATGAATATTGCTAAAATATTTGAAAATTTCTAACTAAATAAATAGATGCTCACTCAACTACATAAACTTTTATGTTTTTTTCTCGAAATAAGTGTTTTTGACCTCCTAACAATAATGTCAAACAGACTCTAAGTCATGCGAGCTCAACTTTTAGGTGATTAACATATTCAACTTAACATGATCAGTTAAATGAATTATATTTTCATATATTAATTTTGACGTATAAAGATGACTTACCGCTAAAGAGGTGGGACCAGCATGAGAAGTGAGATCTAGCTTGGTGGGTCCACCATTACGATCTTCATAACTAGGTGTTATAACCCAAAATCCTACATGTGGAGTATTGCAAACCCAACCATGTACTTTTATATCCTTATTCTCAAATGAATATTGGTACTTGTCATCCACCTAATATAAAAAAAAATGGTAATTAAACAAAATGTATTAATTAGGGATAGTTTGGTTACCAAAATTAAGAAAATAATTTTCGAATAATAATTATGTTATTATTTTTACCTCTCCCTTAAGTTTAGGATTTGATGGATTTGTTAGTCTAACAGCTTCTCTATAGTCAAGAATTTGCCCATCAGATCGATCTTCATCTGTTGGCATCATCCTTTGAATATCATCTGATATTGCCATATAATGGAACCTAAAAACATTCCAAATTCAACCAAAAACGAACCTCATTAAATGAAGGGTAAATGTGAAAAAAAAATTCTCAATAATATTGAACTTTGAATATCTCACTTATTATAAATTATGGAAAAAAATCGCAATAATTTACTTAATAGTTGAAATATGACTAGAGGGAGTAATTTTCTAGAATATTTTTCTAAGACTTATGGAAATTCTAATATATAGTCCCGAGTATTATAGTAAAATATGCACATCATTTATTATTGGTGAAACTACTTAATTATACAAATATTTCTATCATATTTGTACTAATTCTCCCTATAGTTTGAAATAATTGAATTTTATCTCTCTATTTAATAATTTCATACCAAATTTCAAATCAGATACATGTGAATTACACTAAATACACATTATATACGTGTATTTGATATGATTCATATGTATCTGAGATAACAGATACGCGAACGAGATATGAGAGTGACGAATTAGATTTGTCTATGTGTCCCAGATACATGTGAATCCATTTGGATACAATAAATATATCTACAACAAATTACACGTAATTTTGATCCAATGTATCCTGAATGAATTTTGAATTTATACAAAAAAAGAAAGAAAGTATGATATGATAAATTTTCTTTAAAAAATATAAATGATTGGAATCTTACAGAGTCCTTTTGAGCTTAATGGCAATTCTGGCTTCTTCAAGAATTAAGCTTGGCCAGCCTTTCAAGTGTTCAAATATCCCATATGAATAAAATCCAGAACTTCCCCTCAACATAACAAACCTGAAAAATTATTTTATTTTATCAAAATTATTAATCTTTTTAATAGTACAATTTTAACTTTATAAATTAGGTACTAATAATGATTATTTAATTAAAAAAAAACTTACCTTTTGTCAATGTTTAGAGGAAGATCATGTGTAGTACCATTATTTGAAGGATTCCATGTTTTTGTAAAAGAAACTTCAACTTTATTTTTGTCTTGTGCAATGACTCTGAATTTTGTCCCTAAAAGCCTGCAAAATATTTTTATTTGCATGCTTAATTCGAATATATCATACCCCTCTATCCAAATTTAGACGTTACTGTTCGAATTTCGAAATTCAAACAAGTTTTTCTTTGATAATAATTTTCTTCGTGTCTTCTAAATAATTTTGAAATTTCAATTATTTCACTTGTATATACGTTTTACGTAGGTTTCAAAAATATATAAACTTTATTTTTTAAAAAGGTAAATATTTTATGTTAATATCAATTAGTTCGACTCTCGAAATCTGAACATATTAATCTCATAAATGAAAAGAATAAGTAATAACTTACATGTCAAAAGTGTGATCTTTGTCTCCAGGTCGTTCCCACACTGTATCCCAATATCTACATAATTAATAAATAAATTAAATTATTCATTTTCAAACTTTTTTAAAGTTCTTATATTTAAGTATATATATTAAAAAAATAGAAAAGGATTGCTTAAAGTTAACTTACCCTCTATTTGTATCTTTGAAGTCTGTCTCTAGTACATTATCAATACCATTGTAGCTCACCCCAGCAATGGATCCAGTGGGATTAGTTAGGGTAACTTTGACAATGCCATTATCTATCACTACCTAATAATATTTTGAACATTAGCTCAATAATTAAATAAGATAGATATACATAAATTCCGCTAGTTTAGGAGTTAATTACTTAGATATACTTTAGTTTGAAATATTATGAATCTTATCAGATCTTGGTGCATCTACAAATGTCCAGATAGAGTCAAAATTAGGTGTAATTTGTTCTAGATACACTGTATTCAAGTGGATTCGTATGTATCTAGGATACATAACAAATCTCGCTCGCCTTCCTCCCTATCTCGATCGCCTCTCTCCCTATTTTAGTGTATTTAGTAGTAAAAATACATGTATCTAGGTGTATCTTTCTCAATATATAATAGGAAACTTTTAATTACCAGTAAGATACGAAATTATTTGAAAGTAAAAGTAGAATTGGTTTATATAGTATGTATATATTTCTAATCAGGTAGTTTTCCCAAAAATAAATGAATTTTGCCGATCAGATGAATTATTGTTCAAAATCACATAAAGAGATCTTTTAATCCCTCTATAGTCGATGTGGGAGAAACGAAATATATAGTACCATTGCATTCTCATGATGCTGGTTAACTGAAGCATAGACAATATAATATAATGGCCTAACATTGAGTAAATCATAAACTAAAATGAACCTGACTGTAATATCATGTTACAAAAATAAACATGACTTAATTGTATAAAAAATGTTTAATTGTACCAATTGTATATATAATTCAAACTCTAATAAGAATTAGTGAAAGTGGATACTTACATAATTACTTGAGATAAGCAGTTTGACAGGAGGAGTAGTTGATGCCAACTTTTGACTATTTCTTAGTGGAGTATGCCTGCAATTAGGATTTAATAAAAAGAAAAAAATTGGATATAAGTTTACAACTAAGTAAATAACTAAACCATTATAAACCCTTTTAAAAGAACATAATTAATGTGAGATGTAGTATTTCTCTAATAATAATACACTTCAAAACAAAATCAGAAGATATATAATATTGTGTAACATATATACTAGAATTTGATAAGATAAAAAAAAGAGTCAACTTATGCAAATTAATATCCGCATTACCACATGTTTAGTTTACGTAGACAGGGATGTGAAAGTAATAGTCTTATGTCATGCTGCCTCTTACTTTAAATTTATATATACTATATGTTGAATTCTCCTTAAGAAAAAAATTTGTTTACTTAATTTCTACTATTTTAATTTCCTCTAGTGAAAATTTTGGCTCCATCACTATTCACTGGCTATCCACTATTCTAAGCACATCGTTCTGACTAATTTGAATTCGTACTGAAATGGTAAAACACACCTTATTGAGAAATTCTTTATTTTACGAGGACTTAAACCCCAAGACTTTTAATTAATGGTGGAATGAAAATTACCAACTTGTTTCATTCCATTTCACCACATATTTCAACATGCATGCAAGTTATCATGAAGGTTGGCTAACTTGCCATACCTATGAAATAGGTTGTTCAACCAATTCTTACAATTTGTAAAACTAATTAAGTATGTTCAAGATCTAGGTACAATGTGAAAGAAGAAATGGTAGAATCAATTCTAAGGACCAAAACTTATGACTAATTTAATGCTAGCTAGAGAAAATAGTACTTAAGTGGATGTAACCTTTTTCAATTGTGAATTAGGACTTTTTTTTTTTACCTTTTAGGATATATAGTATACTTTATAGTCATCATTGCATGAAAGTAAAAAATAAATAAATTAGTAAAATTAATTTTTATCAATTGTCATGTTTGATGGCTATGAACCAAATGAGAAATGCTTAATCATATCATATATAGAATCTATGCAAGATCGTTTAGGTATGAAACTCACGCTCTTAATAGTTCAGATATGAAACTCACACTCTTAATAGTTTAGGTATGAAACTCGAAAAAGGGTTAGTTTAGGTGTGTTTTTGACACTTATCTCAATTAAATAAGATGTCATGTGCACCTCATCTTTAGAAACTTGCCAACCTACCCAAATCTATAACATGAATTGTTTGCTTAATTGAGCCTAGGTTCACACGAATTTGTCTTTCACGCTACATCATATCGAGCCCCAAAAGCGCGCAAACTACGTAAACTTAAATTGTCTCTTATAAATCTCTTCACTCCCTTCTCACATTCATATGTGAAATTTGTCTAAAGTATCATGTGTATCTCATCTTCGTAAGTAAAAAATGCATTATCTAACATAGATGACGATAAATTCATAACTTTATATTGGAAAAAAAAAGAAAACAAGAACAAGTTATCATAAAGTATACCTAAAGTGGTCCGTTCTTGAACCATTAACAAGCAAGAAAAGATGGAAAACAATTGCAAAAAACCATAATACAATATGTTGTAGTTGCCTCTTCCACCCTATCGTATTCATCATTTTTAACTCTGCAACACACGTACAAGAACCAATTAACGTCAATGTTAATGACTGAGTACAAAGTTTAAGAAAAAAAAATAGAACTCATGATCTTAAATATATATACCATGAAATTTCACCATGGCTATAAAAACATATCATTGATCAAAGAAAAAGTGAAAAATAAATAAATTGAAGTCACGTTATTTCCAAGTGTATAAATATCATTTTAAAAATTAACTAATAAGAAAATAGTAATGCGTTTCAAAGGATGTATTAGAAACGCCCCTTCAAGAAAAATGATAAAAACTTTTTTGTATCAGATGTTTACACCGAACTATATTAACTTACAAGTGATTTAATGAGGTGGAATTAATATATACAATAATAAAGAAGTGGACAAACAAATACATATCGTTCATCTATTAGTCTGATATAAACATCGACGTTGATAATTAGTTTTTACCAAAAAAATGTTATTTGATGCTAAAGGAATTGAAACAAGAAAGAAAAAAAAGTTGCATGCATACCTTAATAATCACAAGAAATGAGAGAAAAATTATAGAAATGAATTCCTTATAACTAATCTTCAACTATATATATATATATATATATACGCTTCGAAGCTTATAGGTTTAGATGGTCTAATATTATTGTAATATAATAGTGCAGTTAGTATATGAAAAATCTAGCTGAATCCTACACCAAAAAAATGTGTTTTGTTTATTATATTATATAGTAAAAATAATATAATTTTTCATGTTGAATAGAAGGTTGACTTTTAATTGTATTAGGTATTTGCTGTTGACCAATGTGCATTTTTAATTGGGCAAAAACGCAGACATAGGATTTTTTCTATACACGGCAGTTGCTACAAAATATTAAATAATATAAAACAAAAAAAATACCAGAATTATTGTAATTTATGCATTAGTAGACATTTTTTTCTTCACTTTTTGGAAAGTTCCAAAATATTTGACACAATTATAAAGTATCTATATAATTTTTCACAATTTTAAGTACTCGAATTAATTAAAATATGTAGACTTTAAAATATATATGATATTCTTTTTGTCTTAAAATAAGTGTTATTTTTCCTTTTCAAGTGTTAGATCATTTTGTTAATCAGATTATATCAACTCAATATTTTTTTAAAAATTGAGATTTGAATATTCAAAAATTATACAAACAATAGTATATATTGCATTCATTCTCATGTCAATATAATGTTAATCAAAGTTCACATAGATTGAATCTCGAGAGCGAAAAGTGATAAAGCCCGTTCCGAATGCTTCTACGATGCAGAAAATTAATGAAACACGGAGCCCGTTCTGAATACTATCATTGGCAATACATTTTATTGTATCCAACAAATACTTGTAATTAACCCCTCTTGTTAAAATTAATTTTGTATTTAATTTCTAATTAGGAACTATGTTTTTTTTTTTCTGATTAAAATATTAATTTATTTATGGGAAGTTGTACAATTTGGTCAAGTGAAGTCGTTAATGGATTTGTCAAAGTCTATTTTGGTGGTTGGCCCAAACTTTAATTTGGTAAACATTCCACTCATTAAACATGAAAAATACGCAAAAAATTCTACTAATATACATTTATGGCTAAGAATTTGGAGAACTAACTTGTTCTAATTCAATTTTAATACTTGTACTTTTGAAAAAAGACCAAACAGATTATTATAATAATAATATTATAATAGGGAAGCCAACAATATTGTACCTCATATATATTTTCTTCCTTTATTTTTATCTATTGTTTAATTACCTCAAATAGTATTGTGTATTTTTCAACTATATTTTATAAATTAATTGGTCATAAGTGGCACATATATGGACTTGTTTGGCAACATGTGTGCAAATATTTTTTCTTTTCCTACAACTTGTATCAGTTGAAAATGGAATAGATCGCGGGAAATCAGAGTTTAAATTTCAGTAAAATTTAAAAGGAAAGAAGAAGAAAGAAATGAACATATATATGCATATGTAGACGTAGGGGTATGCACATGGTACGATAGTTATTGAAACTAAAAAATTTATGTTGCGATTTTGATATTATGATATTTAATATGCATTTAATTAACAAAAATAATATTTGTTATTTTCTAATAAAATTACCAATAAATCGAATATCAGCGAAGTATATGGTTATATATGCAATTTACAATATTTTATTATAGTACCAGTAAATATATAAAGTTATAGTAGTTCTCCATTATATGTGTATATGTAAGTTGAAGCCGAATAAACTATGATTATCAATTTACCATATTGCAAAATATTAATCAAACCTTAAAATACAAGCGAACTATACCCTTCGGGGTGGCCAAATAGTTCGGGCTTGGAACTTTCATGTTGGAGGTCTAAAGTTCAAAACTCCTTGCTTGCAACAGCAAGGGGTTTGCCTTCTAAGTCGAGCTCGTCACACCAGACTTGCGTAGTGTGGGTTACTTCTCCTGTATGGTTTGCAAGCTATTGCATAGAAGCGAGAATTTTATTCTATGCACACCCAAAAAATAGCGGCTACGAATTTCCCTTGTCATTTTAAAAAAATACAACCGAACCACACCATACACAAACTATGATCTAGTATTTTGAAAAATCAAAATTTTCAATATCCACCCTTAGTTGGTCATGTGTTTGCTTCGTATGTCAAATATGATGTATTTATTGATAATACTTAGCTTTCGAAGCGCAATATAGTTAAACTTATTTACAACGTCATCAATTGTTCAAATACTGAAAACACATAGTATAACATAACATGAAAAATTGATTTTTTTAAAAAATTGACCGGTATAGTGAAATATACATTATTTTGGTAAATAAACTTTTTATCATCAAACTTGGAAGAATTCATTTTAAAAAAAACACATAAGCGTAGAACACATAAACTTCAAATGCCGACTCCGTATAAAATATCTCCAGAATAATGAGCTTGACAAGCTCCAGGATACCATCAAATCCACTTCATCTTGTCACCCTGTGGCCTGTCTTCTGATTCCATGCCATTTTAAAAGGGGAACTCCATATAGCTGCAGAATAAGAACACTAAAAAAATAGATGGAAAGTTGTCGCATCCGTGATGGATCCAGCCCGCACCTATTGATACTTTTGAAGAGTCCAAGCACATAGCTTGAAATAATTCTGTGGATTGTAAGTCAGACATCCAAAGACTTGGTGACAAACTAGTCATATCAGAGTTAACAACTAACTGACTAAGGTCGAAGCAAAAGTCGAGGTGAGCTTTTGATTCCCAAAAGAATGCTGGCTCTGGAGATAGTTTGATGAAAGAGTTCATGGACTACCAGAACTAAGATTGTGGACTGTGCTGATAAGGAAAATGCAGAAATCAAGACTATATAGGGTGTGTTTGGTACGAATGAAGTATCTGATGACTCGCTGATCCGGTGAAGGGCTGAATCAACAGTGACTGACTTGTGAAGTGTTAGAGAACGGTCCAAATGAGTGGCAACCTGTTGCCCAGAGCCAATTTACAACAGGCCTTTCATGCACATGAGAAGCCTTTTTCATATGGAGCACTCAACCATCCACAGCAGAAGCCAGCCCAGTCGATATATGTTGTTGGGCTAGCATTGAAATAGCATGCCTTCTCTCTATTTCTGAAACATAACTGTCAAATGCCAACACGAAACAAGTAAAGATCACCAAACCAGATGCATGCAAGGAGAATAAATATCAAAAGAATTTAATGGAAGGCTTGTATGTTCACCTAATGAAATATTTGAGGTTGACTTCATATACCACATTTTGCATATCTCATAAATGTATTAGACACCACCAAATCATAAGAACACTTCTGATGAGCAGAGAAATAGTCTATAGAAATTGAATGCAAAATCTTTTAGATGTCTAAAGGCCGAATACAGGAGAATATGAGGGAGGCGAAGGAAATAAAATCTCACTATATACTTAGAGTATGGTTCTCAACGCTATATCAAATCAGTGATCTCCTGTTAAATAGAATAAGGTAAGAGTAAGTTTGTTATCAGGGTCTTTCAGCTTTCTGTCGACATTCTCTGATACGAATGGTCGCAATGTTAATTGTAAATACTATTTAAAATCTAAACTTAGTTTACTAGATTTTATAATTTATTTGAGGCCAGGAAGACAGTACCAAGGAAACTGAAAGCAATCTCCTTTCCCCAACAGATTAAAAGTTCCATGAATGTAGTATACAGTAGAAAGTCATACTGAAGGACACTAAAACAAACAAGATAGATAAGGCAATGAAAACTGAGTAAAAACTTCACTTACCTCAAAGGTATCGTATCATTCTGATGTTGGAGTACAATAACTACATCTTTACTTGTCCAAACAAGACTTTCATCTTCCATCATAAGATGTTCATCCATATCAGCTAAAGACAGAACAAACCTGTAAACAAGGAGGAGATTGTTAGAGCATGGCTCTCTTGTTCACAATGGCGGTAGTAGGAGAAAAAATCTTCTGGAATTTAGGCTTTTAGATCTTGTTGGGGGATTTTTATGTCGGTGTAAAATGTAGAGAATCTGATTTTTTTTTAAAATTTTGATAAAGTTTAAGTTAAGAGAACTTGATTTATTGAATATTGGTTGGAGATATGTCTAGATGGAGCGGAAGTGGTAGTGAGGATTCACATAGCCGACCCCAACTAGGTTGGGATTAAGGCTTAGTTGTATTTGTTTCCATTCATTGTCAAACTAACAGAAGAAAAAAAAATCGAACTTCACGTGAAATAATCAGAACTGCCAAATAGAAGAGAGATGTATCAAAGGCGATGCTTTTTTGGCATTTCTGATATATATCCTCTAATAATTCAGCAATAATATTGCTATAGGTCAACTATGTAAAAATGGAACAACATGCAGTACAAGTTTGTTTCAATTCATCAATCTTAATCATGACATAAATAAAAAACGACTACAGGCATAGTGTAATATGCTATTATTGTTGTCCATGATGTCCAATATCAAAGACCAATACAATGATTAATGCAGAAGCATTTGATGATCATATCTAACCATTCAGTGCAATAGGTAGAAAGGTTTACATAAAATACACACAAGCTCCTGAAAATCAAAGAGAAGTCTTTTAGCAGAACTAGTAATTGGTCACTGAGCAAAGAAAGAACGCTGCATTATCAATTTAGCTCCCAAGTAGGCACATGTCACTGGTTCGAACCCTGCAACTGACAAAACTTGGTATTTAAATGGAGAAGGGTAGAGGAGCAGGTCCATTATCCACCAAGTATTTTGTTTTGCACGGTGCACCACTGCTCCTCGGTGATTTCTCAGTTATAAGAAAAATAGTACAATCGATTTGTATAGCAATATTTCTGATGTGTTCATTTAGTATCAGAAGGCACTGTTAAACATCAGAGAGAGAGAGAGAGAAGTGGCATCAATACAGCAGTTATAAGCAATCGACAAAGGCGTGAGATAAAAGGTTGTTGCGCTCACACTGGAATGACTCTGGTACCATATGTGCGGTGCAGATCACCTTGTTTCTTCTTTTCTACTGTTCTTTTCTTCACCTTCTTCCACTTCTGGTTATAAGTAGCCCAGATAGGTTTATGCTTTAGTACGGAATCACTTGTACCATCACTCTCATCCATCCAGTGCTAGAAAAAGAGAAAAGAGATTTAGAACAAGCAGGCAAGGGGTAAAAGGTATATGCATGTGCAATGGATAAATATTGATCATGTTACCACCTGCCAACAAACATTCACCAATGCCATCACAAAGAAAGTTGTGCGAAACAACTTTAATCCGCTTACTGATACAGCTAGATAGCATTGCAAATAAAGTAGAAAGCTCACAAATATTCTATTGTATGTCGTCAATCTCTGTACGTCTTTGTCTGTACAGTTGATTAGCCCTTGTTTCATCACCCCTCTCCAAGTGTCTCGCGATCAATTTCTTATAAACATGAGTGCTTGGTGTCAAGGATTGACCAATCATTAAAGAGAGAAATTCGTCCGCTTCTTTCAATCTCCCACATTGACACAAAGCAATAATTAAATAATCAAAAATAGAAGTATTAGGAGAGATCGACCTATATTGCATTTCATAATAAAGTTTAAGTGCTCCCTCAACGTCACCTACGTTGGCATAACCGGCAATGAGGTAACTATAGATGCTTTGATCTGGAATGAAACCCTTATCCATCAGAGTAGTCAATAGCTTATCAGCAAACTTTGCACTTCCATTTTCACAAAGCTTGGCAACAAGCTTGTTAAAAGATAAACAACTAGGAAGGAGCCCATTTCCTGTCATTTTATCACAAAATTTCAAGCTTTCTTCTAATCTTCCCACTTCTGAACAAACCTTAATCAGGTGATTAAATGTTTCACCAAATGGTTTCATATTCAAACACTCCATTTCGTCCATCAACTTAATCGCTTCATCTATCCGCTTCTCCTCACAATACGCCCCAATGAACGAATCGTACACCAGTGCATTCCCTTCAAAACCCCGCCTAAGCAATTCATCATAAACCCTCCAAGCAGACTCCAGATCTCTCATCTTCACCTTTGCAAGAACGATCAATGAACAAGAAATTGTATCAAGTATCATGTTCTTTTGCAACATTCTCCTCATCAACCTCAACCCGTCTTCAATTCTACCCTCCTCAATCATCCCATATATCAAACACGTATTCACAACAACCCCAGGTTGACATCTTTTTCCATGACTTTTCTCCACAACATCCAAAAATCTCTGTAACCTCCCTTCTTTGCACAAAGCACTAATCATAATTCTAGTTGTCATTTCATTCGGGTATATCCTTTTCTCAATCATATACTCATATATACCCCAAACCATAGAAGTCTTTTCCGACTTTTGCACGACATGTAGCAGAGTATTATAACTAATTACACTAAGCCTAAAACCATTTTCATCCAACAATTTACAAACATCCAGACCCTTATCTACCATTCTCAACTTAGCACAACATTGCACAAACAAATCAAACACAAACGAACAGGAGTCAGCTAATTTATAACTTCCAATTAAACAATCAAGAACACCAATCACATTTTCACCAACCCCTGATTCTTTCCTCAAAACAGATTCAATCAACGCATTGGCATGTCTAACAAGCTTAGATTTAGCAAGAATATGAATTATAATGCAATAAATAAAAACCCCATGTCGAGAATTAGAACTTTTTGCTGACCAATGGAAGAAAGTGAGGGCATTTTTTGCATCATGAGGTTCTTTGAGCTGTATGAGCACTTCTTGAACAATTGGGTCAGTGAAGTGAAAAGATTGAAACTTTTTTGTTAAGACTTCCCAATTTTCTCCTCTGCGTAGTGAATTACATATAGAAGTGATGATGGGGTTGTTGGAATTGGGGGAATCTTGAAGTGTTTGGAGTGAATGAGTTGAATATGGATTTTGGTGGAGTTGAATGAAGAAATGGGAAGTTTTTGTGAGTAAATTGGAAGCTAAAGGGGAGATAATACGAGGTGACAAGTTCATATTTTCCCCATAAGATGAAATTTGAAGCTCAAAGAGGTAGTTTTATCTTCATGGTTGATTGAAGAAGATGACAGCAGAGGTTAAGTTATGCAGATGGTAAGTGATGGAAGAAGGGAATTAATATCAAGAATGAGGGCGGTGATGCAGGGTGGCGCTGCGGATAGAGGGTGGGTAGGGTGGCGGCGTCGCGGTGGAGACGGGGAGTTGGGGAGGTTTGGATGGATTGGTTTAATTCAGTATTTTTAAGATAAAAATAGTTTTTGTGTATTTTTATTGTGTTGGAGTAAAAGATTAAAAAAAAATAAAAATTATTAAAAATAAGTCAAATGTTATATTCCCTCTCTATGGCATATTTTTCTTTTTATTCAATTTTAAAAGAATATAAGCCTTTTATTTAATAAATATTTAATACTATCAATATTTTATTTATATTAGATTATAAATAAGAAAAATCATATTGGATTCCACCATTCTACAACAATAAGACAAACTTCATATAATCCTATTGAGGTTCATGGAGGATAGGATATACACCGATTTTATATCTACTCTTTAGAGGTAGAGAATTTCTTTCGAATAAATCTTTGGCTTAATAAAAATATATTTGATGCAAGAAAGTAAGAGACTAAAACAACAAAGTCGTAAGATATAAAATAAATGTAGCAACATATAGTAATACACATTAAAAAATAAGAAATTACTCCACATGTCAATTTTGTTTCCCTCATTTTATTTGCTACGAAGGTCATCATTCTCTTCTTGCTCCATATAATTTCGTTCTTAATTATATCTCCCATAGTATGTCTACACATCCATATGAGCATCTTCATCTTTGTAAGTGCATTTTTTGTACGTGAACATTCTTGATTGGTCAACACTCTACAACATAAAACAAAGTATATCTAACCATCACTTTATAAAATTCACCTTTAGATTTTGACGACACATTCTTATCGCAAAGTACCCTAGATGAGAGCCTCAATTTCATCTACTCCTCTCCAATATGATGTGCAACATTATCGCCAGTCTCAACACCTCATTGAATTATGGAACAAAGGTACTTGAAACTTCCTTTCTTGAGTATGACTAATGTTTCAATCAAGATTGAACTTGCATTCCAGATACTTTGTTTTAGTCCTACTTAACCTAAAACCTTTAGATTCTATGACTTTTAAAAAAAAATCAGTTTATCGTTAACCCCATCACACGTCTCATCAATCAATACTATATCATCCGTGAATAACATACACCACAACACTTCTTATTAAATATGTCACATCAATTCGTCTAACACTAAAATAAATAGAAACGAACTAAGGATTGATTCCAAGTAGGGGTGCGCATCGGTCGGTTCGGTTCGGTTTTATGTGTTATTGGTTCAGTTTATCAGTTTTCGATTTGTAAATACGTCAAACCAATAACATATTTCTTATTGGTTTTTGGTTAATCGGTTTATGGTACTTAACGGTTCGGTTTTCGGTTTAACCAATAAGAAAATACTCATATATATTATATACACGATAAGAAAATTTCAAATAAACCATATGATTTTTCCAGCATTTGGCATGAAAGTAATAATCATAAAAGTAACAATCATTTTTCTTGCAAGTTTAGACACATTCAAAGGAAAAAGTGTGAAAGTAACAATCGTTTAACCATTAACAAAAAGTGTGAAAGTAACAATCGTTTAACCATTAACAAAAAGTGTGAAAGTAACAATCGTTTAACCATTAACAAAAAGTGTGAAAGTAACAATCGTTTAACCATTAACAAAAAGTGTGAAAGTAACAATCGTTTAACCATTAACAAAAAGTGTGAAAGTAACAATCGTTTAACCATTAACAATAAGACTAGTAAATTTAGTATACTCTTATTGGGTTACCGGTTTAACCATTAACAAAAATCATAAAACCGGAAACCGAACAATTAACCCAATAATTTTTTTTGCAAAACCGTTTAAAAACCGTTAGCCCAATAACCCAATATCAATAAACCAATAGTGTTTTTTTCGGTTCGGTTTATTGGTTAAATCGGTTTTTGCACACCCCTAGTTATAGGAGAATCAACCTCATCCACTACACGACATCATTTGGTGCTGAAACTGTAATAGAGTTGAGTTGGTATCATGGGTTTATCATAAGTCTCAGATTTAGTGTAAAATAAATATTTTAAAATTAATTTTGATTGGTTTTCAAATAAATTATAAGAAAAGATATATGAGTATTTGACAAGTGTTGGACATGTTAGATCATGATCCCTTATTTAGCCATGTTGACTTAATCGAAATAACTTTTGCGCGAATTCATGATCTAACCACTTATTAACTTAGTCGATTTAACCTGTTTAAATTCAACACAATCAGACCAATATTTAATAATCCACTTATTATTTAGGATTTTTCATTTTTTGTGGATGTGGGTCCAAGTGCAATCCCATCACGATGAGAAAGTGATCTAAGTCATCTCTCACTATCTTAACTCAGATCTTGGCTTCATCACTCATATACATGATAGCCCTAATATGCATCACATATACACCTTTAAATTCCAAACATCTTCAAAGGACCTCCTAAGGACTATCATAGGAGTATTATTTTTTTCCAGACTAATAAACACCATATACAAGTCTCCCTTCTTGTCACTACACTACTCCAACACCCTCTTTAATAACTTTTATAATAGATCAACCGTAAATCCAAATTGATTCTCGAAAATATGATACATCCCTCCACACTATTCTACATATCAAAATTCAATATTTGCAAATAATAATATCCAATTACTTAACCTCCCTATTTTGCTAATAAATTTTCATTAGATTACTCATTAACTAAAATTAATTCCTTTTTTACAAAGTCTTAACCCTAAACCGAAAATAACGCTTAAACCAAATTAAAACCAATTCACAAAATTAATCAAAATCTCTTTTAGCTCAAATTCATGAACACAATTGCACTGTTCTCGTCTTCAATGGTTCAGCCCTTAATCATATAGCCATGAACTCCACTCTTCCCCTTTCTCAATCACCCCAAATAACTCAACCCATTTTACCCTCTTCTCCTAATAAACTCCCTATCAAACGCAAAGCAACAGACGACCCCTTTACCTCCGCCGCCGGCACCGGCGCCGGCGACGGTGGTGGTGCCAATGGAGGAGTCGGAGAAATGGGTTCGGACCCAAAACCCCCACCATTCAAATTTCATAGAATATGGACTGAACCGGATGAGATCCGGTTTCTTCAAGGTCTACTTGATGGGTCATCGGAAAATCTCTTCTTCCCTCGTGATCTTAATGTTTTCTATACTCGTTTTTCGAACACTATGTCTCAGCCTTATACGAAATCTCAGCTTTCAGAGAAGCTTCGTAGGCTTCGGAAGAAGTTTCGGGTTATTTCTTCTCGTTTGAGTAAAGGGTTAGATAGGTCGTTGTTGTCTCCTCATGATCGTGCTTTGTATGATCTATCGAAACAGCTATGGCATCCTGATTTTTCTGATACGTCGCCTTTTAATGCTGAGAAATCGAAGAAATCGAATTTGGTTGGGGTGAAGGTTAGTTTTTTGCCGAATATTTATGACCCGGATCGATATGGTATTGTTCCCTACCAAGATGGGAATGGGTCGACCTGTAATGGGGTTTCAGTGAATGAGGAAGTGGAACAAGGTGAAGATGAAGAGAATGATGGTAATATTGAGTTTGATGATGAAGATGGGAAGTTGAGTGAGGTGAATGTGGAATTGGATAGAGGGGAGATAGGGGATGAACGGGTTGAATTTAGTCGTGTGAATGGTCCGGTTCGGGTTGGAGTAGGATTTGGTGCAGGGGATATTGCTGCAAAAGTGGTGATGGATGTGTTTGATGAGTGTTTGAAAGATTTTAGAAATGGTGTTGTTGGAGAAAGATCAAATCTTGGTGGTATTTTGAAGAAGGCAAGCTCGGACGAGTTTGAAGAGAGATGGAAGGAACAAAGAGTCGCGGAGTTGAACGTATTGGCACGTCGTATGAGGTTGGTTCTTGAGCATTCTCTTCAAAGTCTATGAGTAAATGTGTTAAACTGTATATGGAGTTTAGTGCTAACTTTTTTTGAGTTTGAGTTTAGATTTCCGTAGTAGTTTTTTTCGCTCATACAGTAGTATTACTACCTTTTGTTCAAGAAATTTTGTAAATTTTTGGCAAAAGAAGATATTTCTTTCTAATATGGTGTTATTCTAGCTTGCTACTATTTGATTATCTTTTTATCTCCAAATGTAAACCTTTAGAAATGAGTTCAAAAGGCATCGGCTTAGGAACATGTTTAAAGAGAATGCAGTAACTAACCATGTTTAGGTGTAGTTTCGTGTCATTATGTGAATGATTGAATTAGTATGCTACTGATTGATACACAAAGTTTTGTAAATTTGAAAACGTGGTTACTGGCTCGTTAGTGATGTGTAATTGTACAGTGTGTGTTGATAGAATGCTCAGATGACAGTGGTTGTGCAGGTTATCGATCCTGTTATGTCACTTTCAAATGTTAGTGTGTTTGACAAGAATCTGTAATGGCATGAGTTGCGGCTCTCCTCCACCTTGAAACCTTTTTACAGCACGTTAGTGTTCATGTGAGATATTAGGCACACTTTATCAAAAATATAAAACATAATAAGTTTTAGTTACAGTAGCCAGAGAAACAATCGTAGTTTTTGGACTGTGATTATGATACAAAAATATACAGTTATCTTGTTTATGAAGTTTTAGAGTTGGCATGAAATCTCAAAGGTCCTAAATTTATGAACATAGGTCGGTCCCGGGGAGTCGTCCTGTACCTCAGGTAAACAGGTTACTCAACGGGATGATTTCATAAATGGTATGGTCAAGACAGGAATCTTCTCTTCTCTTCTCTTTGCTTTTGATCTGTCTTCCCAGATTCTGGTTATTAACTTCTGTTCTGTCAATGGACATTGCCATTTTTTAGAACTATGGCTCGTCTTCTTCCAAAGCTGAGCTAAAATCTATGTTGCTTGGACT